CTCTTTGGTACTCTTTAGACTTTTAATTGCATTCTCTTTATCATATGCGATCTTCTAGGACATCTTGGACTCCTTCAAGGACTCAAACCCTAACTTATCTAATTTATACAAATTGCACCCTAGGTCCTTAACTTTTACAACACGTTACGAATTAGTCCTTTGTTCACAGAATTGCCAACACTAAAAACCTAACTCAGTCATATATTGTCGATGGTTCAATATCGAGACTTGGTCAAGACAAAAGATCAGGCTCCTTAGAGTATGAAGTTCCAGTCTATCTTGAGATTCTAGTTCTATCGATTGAAAAGAAATGATGGAGATAGAGATATCGTTTAGATAAGATTTTAAAATAAGAGTTCAATTCAAATTATTAGTTTTTAGATTAGATTAGATTAGTTTGAGTATATTGAAAAAGTTCTAGTTTATTAGAAATTCTTTTAATTTTAGATTATTTTCTTGATATATAGATAGCTTATTCATTGTAATATGCACCTTTATATCAACAAAATTGATTTCCTCTTTACCCTTAATTCTTCTCTTCTTTGATTCCCTTTCTTTTCGTTGGCTAATTAGTATGCTTCTGCGCTAGCGCTATTGCTAAACAACCAGCTTGAAATGGACCCTGATTAGTAGTGTTTTCTCTGCAGGACCTGATTGTAGCAGACATTCTATAGATTTCATATGATTTATAATGTAGTCCAACTAATGTCACAACGTGATATTTCGGGCTTGTTCTCAGTTTGTTTTTGTTCTTAATTAAAATGAGATGTTTCAAATGATCATCAGCTTTTTCTTTATGTTCTTAATTACCTTATTCCGTTTCCATTCAGGCATCTGTGCAGATATTGCTGTATCAAAGCATGAATACTGGTCGTCTTTCGCACCTCTTCCTTTCGAAATTGTTTTATCGGCTGGACAGAAGGCTAAGGAAGAATACAGGGAAAAAGGCTAGTAATATCTTGTTTTGATGCTAATTCCGGAACCTAAAAGAAAATTATACTGATATCAATAGCTTTTCCATCACCATGGAACTTTGTTCTTATGCTCTTTCCAACAAAGTCAACTTTTTCTTGATATAATTGCACCTTTCATATTAGATTTGATTGCATTCTGACATTCTGCAGGTAAGGAAAATCTGCAGAATGACAAACTTGTCCTGGATTTAAATGATCTCACTGGTGAAGGAAACATTGAGAGTATGCTAACAGTTGAATTGGGCTTAAAGGAACTTGCTTCATTGAAGGTTTCTCCTTTATTTTACTACTTTGATTTGTTTAACATAAGATATACTTTAGTTCATTTGTACCAGTCCACGCCTTTTGCTTTCTTATTTTTTTTTATGTTATTTTATTTTATTTTATTTAAAAAATTCAATTCATCATATCAAGTCGCTTAGTGTAGCAATTTTCCTTCTTTCGTTATAATTCATTATCATGCACTAGTTTGCATAGCTCTTCCTACCATCAGATGTCTTCATCCGTATCTTCTTCAAAGAGGACTAGTAGAATAACTACATTGTAAATCTTTGATGGTCCGTTTTAAGGTTGAAGAATCCATTGTGCTTGCATTGGCTCAACAACGACGTCCAAACTCTGCTCGGATATCCATATCAGGTTTGTCCTCAATTTGTTGCAAACATGATTTGCTTGATTGGTGATGCCTCTCTAAAGGATAGATCATTGAATGGATTCTAACATACTTCAAAGCATCTCTATTACCCTATGTGTGTCAGTCTGGATACTTTTTTGGCCAAGGCAATGGTAAATTTGGATATACCATTGACAAAATTAGTAATAGGTTAATGCTGCTCTTGATTGTGTAATGAATTTCCTTATTTTGAAGGTCAAGTTTTGTGTCATTACTTGCTTCTATCCATCTGCCTCTTTAATCTTCCTACCCAGCATTTTACAATTGCTCCATTTGCAGTTGGTCCATGGGTTTTCTATAAATATTCTATCTTGAAAAAATTTATATGTATTTTTTTTCGTACTGAAATTTTGAATGAAGTGTAACTTTTCTTTGACATATTAAGCTAGTGATTTCCTCTTTAGTTTTTAGGTCGGGTTAATTCCGAAGTTTTTGCTTCGTAAAAGTTCAAGTGGTTTGTTAATTATTAGTTATATTACTTGCATATATGTGTTCGTGTACTTATGTCCATTCCTTCTCATTTATGCTACTAGCATATGTTGGATGATACTATCATTGGAAACTTGAAACTTATATTTATTTTCTTAACCTATTCTATTATGGCAGATCTCAAGTCCCCGAGTGATCCAAAGTTTATGGAAGCTTTTGGTGAGTCCTGTGTGGTATCTTATTCCACATTTTTTATAGTATCCAATATAAATGGGGTAAAGTTATCTGAAATTTTTCTATTTAATTGGATTTTGGGTTCAATTCCTTTATTTTCAGCTACAATGGAATGACAGTAATAAGGTCTTCAGTAACCTGATTTCATATCAATATCATTTTTATACTTGTGTTCACTAGTTGCATTTTGCTATTCTTGGATAAGCAAGTTTACCATCAATCACTTGGGCCAGATGTCATATCAGTATCATTTTTCATGTGTGTTCACTAGTTGCATTTTGCTATTCTTGGATAAGCAAGTGTACCTTCAATCACTTGGGATTGTTCATTTTATCCTCGTTCCAATAGTCTGCACAATATCTTATCTTCAATCTGAGCAATCATGTATTTCCTTGTGACTCTAAATATTTATTCACTATTCTCCTTTTGCATCCCATGTCATGAACCAGAAATTCTCAGTTACCTGTGTAAGCTGATCTCTATGGTGTCAGAGAAACCATCTTAGATTTTTTAGATTTGCCTTTACTTTCCTAGAACGTTAAATTTCTTCATAATAATGTTGCAATGGTGGTAATTAATGTCAAAAAGGTCGCTTCAGCTACAATTGAAGAGAAATTCCATTTCTTTTGTTCATATTGTAATTATTAAAGCAGCAATATGTATAAGCTGTTTTTTCCTCAAATCGAGCCAATATTCGTGAACCAATTTCTTTTCTTGAACAAACCATTACATGCTCCAAGAATACCTTGTTTGGTATCCAGTGGCTTCTTAAGCTTTTATCTTTTTTATTGACCTATTTACAAGGAAAAAATATTAACACCATTTGGATTGCTTGAGGATTTTTCAGAGCCCATTGATGTCATTAGTTAGACATCTCAGAATACAAACGTACATTTTGTTCATCTTTTTCCTCTTTTGGTTGCAGAATTGAGCCCTGAGGAGTCTGAGGATGTCCTTTTCAAGGAGGTCTGTCATTTCTTCCACAGTTTAGTTACTTTCAGGCCTCTTGATACATTGGCTTAGTACTCACTAGTAGATATCAATATATTTCGTTAAAGTAGATATGCTAAACTATAAAGTAAATAAAATATAGTTCATTCTTCTGTTGAGTTGTTAATTATGAAACAACTATCTCGCATAGGCATGGCTTACTTATTTTTGGAGAAGAGCCAAAGCTCATGGTATAGAGGAGGACATAGCCAATAAGAGACTTCAATTTTGGATTAACCGTAGTGGGCAATCACCGACTTCACACGATGCTGTTGATGGTAATTTCTACTATTCTTACTGAGACATTAAATGTATATGTGGCTTTTATTGTCCAGATATAGTTTTCCATAGAAACTTTATATTTCATCTGCTGTTTCATTAATGCAGGTCCCATTATTATGCTTTTCTTGTCCTGTGTAGAATTCCAAATATAATATGTATATTCTTCAAATTGATCGTGCTCAAAAATATTATTGCACTATATTACAAAAATTTTCATGCAAATTTTGGAAATAGGGTGCTCTGAAAATTGTTTTTATCCACATTGTAGGCTAACTGATTTCAAATAGATTGCAATACATTTCAAAACCGTAAATACTGAATTGTAAAAGAAAGATGTCTTTTCAAGTTTTCTATGCATCTAATATTACTACGACTTGTGGGGCAACACGGTTTTGCACAAAATTCTACAGAGGTCAGTGTTCTTGGAGAAATTACATTGTAGAACTTTTATTTTAGAGCCTAGCCTGCTTAACAACTAAACTCTTATTAATACATGTGCTAAAGCTTCATAGCCTGGTGTACTTAATTCTATGCCGTGGAGATTAGTTCTTGAATTGAAAATCATGCTTTCATTTATCAGAATACACTGATAATGTAAATATGATCAGATTTGTTTGTTCCTATCCTATTGAGGTTGTAATTTTTGGTGGTTGATCCATCTTATAGATTACTGGGAATTCAGTTGATATCATGCTGATGTAACAATTTGTTCTAGGGTCCATTTATTTGTTTATTATTTGTATACTAAAAATAATATTTTATCATCATATAGTTGAGCAAGGTTTGATGGAGCTAAGAAAACTGGGTATTGAACGGCGACTTTGGGAGGCATCACGCAAAGAAATCGACCAGGATCCTTCCCTTCATGATGGTCAGATGTCTGCTGTGCAATCCAAACGATCTACTCGCTAAATCAGAATTTGAAACATTTGATGTTTAATAGTTAATTTGCGCTACAGTAAAGGTTCCTTGGATTCATTGAAGCATCTTCGTTTTTGTTGACAGCCTGATTGTAAGTAGGTTTATTATTCCACTTGCTATAGCACAGTATGATATATAATGGTTTTTCTTGGATTATGCAGTTGTGATTTTATGGGCTGCCAGATAAAAATAAGATGGAATCAAATTTTGGTTACATTTAGGTTTTTGTTTAACATTTGGAGACTATTCCTGCTCTAAGAATAGAAGATTTTCGAACAAATTCATTTTGGTGTAGCATATAAAGTATGCCAACCACAATGAATCTGAATTTGATAAAGTAGAATGAATGCAGCTTTGGATGGAGAAAGGTAAGGTCCATGTATAGAGTCTGCTAGCCTGCTGGGATGTTGGTTTGTGTATCACTTCCAAGAATTGATTACGGTGAGTGCAAATGTTAATTATGTTCTTTGTTTAATGTCTAGTGCCTTCACTCCACGTGTAAGTTCCATCTCTATATGTAGGTCAAGCTCCAACTATGGTAGCTTTATTTTATCAAGTACATAAAAAGGTTTATGAAATGCACCTTTGTAATTTATCTGGGAGACAATAGTTACTAGCACTGTAATTTTTCAAGGCTAGTCTTAGTGATATTATATGCGCACTAGAATTGAGTTTTTCATCGTGATACAATAAGTTGATTCATATGCTGGATAGGTTGATAGGTTGAACATAGATGTTATACCCAAAATTATCCTATATTAATGATCTTTGGACCAAATTTAGCATATTTTGGGGATGATTTTACTGTTGTAGGAAGATATGGATGTAAACGGGATTCCTTGTGTAAAAACTTGTGTAGATTATCTTAGATTAACGGGATAAATTTGGGCGAAAATTGAAAGTTGGAGGTCGGTTTGCTTGAATGGGTGCTTGATCAAGGCATAAAATTTTTTAAATGTGAGACTTCTCTTCGAAGTCTTTTTTACTTCAGTTATTAAGTCTGTAAGAGTGT